AGCAGTGAGTACAGGCCCCCAAAAGAGACAGATAATAAGAGCAAAAGAAAAATGAAGAGTATCTCTGAAATACCTCGGACTTGATGAGAACAGCTGGGAATTTCTGCTATGAAGTGTGACATACTAGAGACAAATGCAGACACTTCTGGCTACTCAGCCAATAGTTCAGTTGGTATTGCCCTGATCTCAGAAATTTCCACTGACTTTTGGAGGGAAGAGAGGTGTAACTGCACCAGACTTCTGATTCTTGCTCTTGACTCCAGTAAGCTCAAAGTAAACCAAAGTTTCAAATAATTTTGCCCCTTCCCTTCCATGACTTTGGAATCCACCTTCCTCTCTTAAGGGCACCTCAGTTCTGGTTGTTTCACACTCAAATTTCCCTAGATACACCTTGGTCTAGAAAATGAAAACTGTCTTGCCACATTCACCTGTCAAGAGAGAGGGCAGCAGCACGAGGATTATTATTAATTATTTAATCAGCCACTTGTGGGGGTTTCTGGGCTCGTGCCAGCTCCCTCTTCAGAGTTTTTGGACAAACATAGTGTGAGGGGAAGGACTCCTGTGCACTCTCCCAAGCTGTTCCATTACACCTGATTTATAGCATGACACTACTTGTTCTAGCCCATAACCTTGAGCTTGTAAACTACACAGGGGAAAATTTACTAACTACTGAGTTCATCTTAATGCACTGTTGGAAATCCTAAGGGGGGAAAAAAGAAGGGAAGGAACTGGGCATCTAGAGGAGCTGGTTTTGTACAACAATCCTGTACTGGCCTAGTGCAGTGCATCTCACTCTGCTTCCATTTAAATAAAGTTTTAATTTACACAGCCAGCATACAGTAAGGACCCATGTTTATCTTGCTCTGAAGGTGATAATCAATAGGAGAGTTGTAGACACATTTCCCAGCTTATTAGCTGCACACATGAATGGAGTTTCCCACAACAGCATGTACAAATGCCTTTACTCCACTCTTAGCTGGCATCAGAGTTTGACTAATAACAGAAGACAGAAAACTGGTTTGCAACTTTTCTAGTAGGATAGAAAATTGTCACCCACTAGCAGACAAATTCCCAGCAGTAAAGGAGTGTAAACAGAACAGCACTGAGAGCTGGACCACGGGTGCCACAGGTCCTTTACCACACAACCCTTGATGGCTGCACTGCTGTGCCATACACACAAGCACCACCCACAGATGCAGAAGTTAATTCAGATGCTCTGCCCCACATTTTGTCATTGTTTTCAAGTGTCAACTTTTAGGTTAATTTCCTCAGCTAATACTCTTGAGGTGAATGTCTAATTTGCCCAAGGTAGAGTTAGGCTCTCCTTGGCTCGTTCCCTTCAATGGCAGCCTGCCCTCTGTACTAATGCACAACTTCCTTGAGACAAGCAGAGAGTGTTGATGCCACAGAGTAAATACAAAATGAGCTCTGCATTCACTGACTATTCCCAAGAGATATCTTGCTCCTTACTTCAGTCTAAGTACTCAAAAGTCAATCCTCAAAACTTTCTCCTCAAGTTATTTTTGCCATGTAAGGCTCCAGCAAACAGCAACTTGTGTGATTATTTCTGCCATTATAGTCCCTTTGTTTAGCTTTTAATTATTTTAAATTACATGGCTGAAGTGCTGCTGGATAGATGTCATTCAGCAATAAAGGCTTGTTCTTTAAAGAGCCTGAACTAGGGGTCTTTTCAGCAGGACTGTAGCTCATATGCTGGGGAATGTCACACTCAGTTTCTGTGGTTCACTGAGGACATTAGGAGTAACCTCACTTCTATTCAAAGCAGAATTGTGTTTGCAAATTACTTTCCAGCATCCCAGCAGTGGATTCTCATAGGGACTGGCAGGAAGCAGTGATTCCTATTGTTCCTTCACTCCAGTGACTGAAGGATTTCCCAAGTGGCAGTGAGGTGCAGAGGAGACAGGACTGTCACACAGCTCCTGCTTGTGCCAGCATGGAATCACAGGACTTGTACTGCACAACCTGGTCGAGCCAAGTTCACAGCAGGTACAGCAACACAGCTGAAGCACTGGGCAGAACACAGCTGTCACCTGTGTCACTGAACACACCTGTAAGTGCCCAGGGAGCAGCAGAGCCCTAATGCCAACCCAGCTCACCACAGCAGTTCCCAGCACACACCTGGCCAGAACCAGCAGTACCCAACTGTCCAGTCACTGATTCTCACACTCTCATTTATCTTCCAGGTTTAAAAAAGGATGATAATAATTTTATAACTACAATCATGAGCCTTTCTTACATTACCTTTGATGAACCACCTCATTAATAACTGCCCATAAGTCTTAAAAAGGAAAAAAACAAACAACCACACACATCCATAAAGATATCAGGCTGCCTGACTAAAGTACTTCCACCTTCTCACTGGGTACCTCAAAATGTTTATGAACAAGCCCAACAGCAGGTTTACAAGTTTCTCCCCAGTTAAATCTCACATTGCTGAGCAGAGCTCACAGCTCTGCTCTCTTCAGATTTCCCTGAAGCCTCACTACACCTTCACATGTACTTGCTGTTTCTGTACCAGCAGCACAAACACACACCAGTGGTGAGTTTACAGTGCCCCCAGATGTTACTCATGAAATCAGCACCAAGTAGAGGCCTCAGTGCCTCTCCATCTCTTTTGGTGACAGTTCATTTTAAAACATTCTTTTATAATAAATGATCTGCTAAAGGCTTATTGCAGTTAGCATGGAATTTTGTGTCTAAACCTGTACCAAATACCTAACTGAGGTGCAGATGTACTAATTACCATGAAAGCAAAGTAGAATCAAACCTCTAAAATTTATAAATATACAAATATATGTAGTACTTGCCAGTATAAAGCTATCACTTTAGATAGATCTTACTGAACTGTAAAAGGTTCAATTCCCAGCATTCTGATGGATTTACTACCGAAACCACTCCAGACATTCTTACCATCCTACCAGGGAAAGCAGGGACCAAGCCAGTTCCTCACCTCACCCCATCTCCCATCACTCCTGTCACAGACACAGCTGTGCAGCTTCCTTAGCCAGCACCATAAAGATCAGCTCTGGGTTATGCATGTTTAAGACAGCAGAAAATGCTACCAAGGCACAGAAGAATACTAAAAACATGCCAAAAATGAATTTTCCCACTTAATGTCTTGAGGAAGAAAACAAGAACAAGCAACAACCTTGCTTTTTAACTGAAAAATGTTTAAAGCCCAGGTCTGTTTGTTTAAAGGACTTTCAGGGCCACCTGCAAATCATAAAGGAGCTGGGATATAAATCTTCTCACTTCTCTCTCTGTCTGTGGATTCATAACCAGAGTAATGATATCTCTAAGGATACAGCCTTCTCTTGAGGTCCAGAAAGGATCTGAAGCAAAATCTACAGCATGCAGAAGAAATAGGTACTGGAATAAAATACCTAGAAGCCAGGCTTTAGATATTTACATGTGTCTAAGCATAATATGTGTTTATTAAACTTGGATTACTTTGCAATTCTTTAGTCTTCTCCCAGATCAGTGATCCCCAAAAAGATTATAACCAAGTCAAGTTTGCTACAATTTGTAAGAGATTCACTGTGACAGAGGAGTGTAAGGGCAGCTGGCAGAGCCCAGCACAGCTGTTTATCACAGTACAACAGAAACAGTTCTTCAAACACACATCAGGGACTGCAGAGATAGAGAGTTTTATCAGAACACACCTTTCAGGCAAGTTACTAAATCGTGGTTTTACAGCAAGAAATGTGTTTGAAAGAGCACTGCAGGGAACCAGATTGCAAATTGATGGTACCCCATTGATGGTACTGAGCTCTCAATGTGCTTCTTGTGTAACTTCACTGTCCCCCAGTACTCTAAACATCATGAAACCCTTTCTTTGGTAGCCAAAAGAAATTACTCTGTACCAACCTTTGTTAAGACAATAAAAATAATTTGTGTCCTTACAGGAACTGTCCCTTCCCCATCATCCAATACTGATCAAAGTAAGAAAAGCTACCATGGGCTACCATGGGTTGTTGCAGTAAAAAGACCCAAGTGAGGTAAGCAAGCTCTCTCCCACTCTAATGTTCCCAGAATGGAAAAGAAAGGTCTAAATATCACATATTTGCATGTACAAGCAGCTGCTCATTCTGTTTTTATGCTGATGTTCATCAGTTCTGACCATCTTGACTTGAAAATCTGACTTGAGTGAAATGAGATTCCCCCTATCACAGTCTTCTTCTCTTCAAAGAAGTAATGATAAAAAGGGGATTGTTTTCAGAGAACTGAAAGCCTGATTTGTATATGCAACAAGCCATTCCATATGAAATCCATGGAGTGCTTCACTTTCCTCACTGTTACAAAAGCAATTTGTTTCCAGACAATGCAGAATTATGCACCAAAAAAAGCTTTTCTCCATATTTTGCCTGTTACCCACAATGAATTTCCAGAGAGAACAGCCTGAACTCCATGCCTGTATCAGATTAATGCCACAGGCAAAATCCAGAAGAGTTTGACCATTCTGGAAGTTTTCGCCACCACCTCCTCTCTGACAAACTAAATATTGCCACCTACTGACTGCCAAAGCCTGAACTTCCAAGGATATTTTTATTTCCCTCTCCCAGACACAATTCCCAAGACACACAGTGAAGGCTGTTACAGCCCAGATAAGCCAAAAATTGATGTCTGATATTCTGAAATATTATTGTTACTTGGTTTTGTCCACTGTTACTTGTTTTCTTCCAATGCTGTAACTACTTTAAGATGTCAAATTTTAGTTAGAGGTTTGATCTTGCAGAATGACTGTCAAGCACACAGTTTTACAATAGAAGGCTCACCATACATGGCAGAGACACCAAGCTTTATAACAGCACCATATGTTTTAGATTTGACAGTCCAGGGTCAAGCTTGAACGCTGTGGTCCAAGTAACTCAGAAAAAGTAACATCTGCTGCTCCCAAGATTTTTCCATACCCTTCACTTGACAAATAAGGAAAAACCCATGATTTTTCTCACATCATCCAGCTCCAGCAGCACCAAAGAAACAACTAAACCATGACTTTAATTATTCCTTTGTACAATTTCATTGCCCAACATGATACAGCCACTGAAGTGTGTCACAGCGTGTGAACAAGGGTTCTGTTTCGCAGCTGCTGCACATATTCCTTTGCTTGGTCAAAGCCAGTCCTTGGTGGCTCTGGAGGAGGAGGAGGACCTTCCACCAGCTTCACAAAGTAGTGGCACCTGCTGATTTTCATCATGCCAAACATGCCCTTGCCGTGGTACCGCAGCCGCTTCACGTAACGGCCCCTGCCCGTCTGCGACTCCGCTGCAGGAAAAAGGACAGGGGAGAAGATCGTTCAGGCAAGAACAAACTGCTACACTGCAATAAAACACCTGTCTTGCCAGGGAATTTTTCATGGCTGCTTCTAGGAAGTTAATTCTACTTGGGATTCTCCCCTCCATCTTTCTTCTGTTACATTTAGCAGATCACTGCTGCAGAGGAACCCGTGAGCTGCATTAACGCTCTTCAGGAGTGCCAAAAAGGGGAATTTAGAAAGCAGGCACATGAAGATAAATATGTGGTGAAGGACAAATCACACTGAGCACTTACTAGATTATACAGCTCTTCTGAAGGTGGTATTCGTTTCACTGCCTTTCAGCAGTTTGTCTCATGAATTCCTGCAAAGTCTTACAGACTTCATTTTCCCTCCTTTCTCCCTTTGTTGCATTCATCACAGGTACTTTCATTATCTGCACATCCAGTCCTGCACTACAGCTGAGCCTTCTTGTGGCAGAGGCCTGGAAGGCTCCAAAGAATTCTAATCAAATCTCTCTACAGTCCAGGTGACTTTAAGCTTATGAGGTCAGTTGAGTAAAATTTATCCCCCATTAGACAAAATGGGATTTTTTTCTTTGGGCCTCAAAACACCTAAGAGTAAACATTTCTCTAACATTTTCTAGGCTAAAAAGCACTTTAGTTATTATAAACTAATCCTGCAAATCATCTACAGACAAGTCTTTTTATTAAGAAGTTTACTATCATTACCCATTTACTTTTTATACTGTGTCTGATAGAAGTTTAACTTGGATCCTGCAAATCAAATTGTACCAGCCCCAGACAAAGCTTCCAGCATCTCTGACTGGCAACATTAAAAACTAGAAACTGTTTGCTTTTTGTTGTCCAATCTTTCATATTTGTGTCAAGCATCTTCCTCTTCAGGACGTTCTGTTCAATAGGGAGCAGAAATTCCATTCTCAGATGGATACATCCATCTTAAAAATGCTGCAAACATGTGCCTTGCATGTTTTGGTAAAGTTAAGTTTAGCAGAAACTGTCCTCTATTCACTTCTGGTGATTTCAAGTATCAAAATCTTATTAAATATAACGCATTTTCACAGGGTAGGATAGAGTAGGATGACATTTTTCTAATGCACTAAATTAAAAAAATGTACCTATGTGTAAGTTTGATTTGAATTCCACATTGTGCTTTCTTACAGCCATTTCCTGTGCTTCTAACAGAACCTGTAACAAAAGGTAAAGAAATGGAAATACTGAGGAATTTAAGCAATGCTATTTCTTATCTCTAGATAACATGAAAGAAATTGCAAGTTTAAGTCAGTTATAGAAAAAGTATTTTATGAAGATAAAAACTGTTAAAAGACAAGCAATACATGAAGATGTTCCTCGCATGCACAGAATGAAAAAGCCTCAGGACAATTTTATTACATTTTTGGGGAGGAAAGGGAGTGGAAAAGATGGTTTCCACCAGCATTTGTCAGCCTTCCCTCCACAGACCTCTGTGTAATCAGACATCTGACTAGAAATAAATTCCAAGGTGGGCAAAATGAACTTGGTCCATTCAATCTTTTCAGCTAATACAGGACATTTCTTTGCCATAATTATACCAGAAGTCAATGCTTCACCCAAGAAATGAGTAATTTGAGAATCCAAACTACCACAGGGTATTCAAAGCTTTTGTGCCTTTACAGAACTCAGTCCTCTCCTTAATAATGTCCCTCATCTCTTACATTTTAAGAACAAAAGCACACAGATGTAGCAGCCATTAGTGACCAGGATTCTACACCTTTTACCATGAACTTAACACCAAGCACTGCTAGAGAGGACACCCACATGGAATTTATCACCATGTCAAGTTACAAGAGCCAGCAAAATTGACCCCAACATATTCATAAGTCACAACATTACATGACTGCAACAAAAATACATTGTTAGAATGTGCTCCCAACAGGCTTACTTGAAACACAAAAACTCACACAAGTAGAAACACCTCCAAACTTCTGGTGACAGTTATTGATTTTAAAATTTTCTGGAAACCAGGAGTTTTAAAGAATACTGCTATTTACCTCTCTGATCACCTTTGCTCCCTTTTTGTCACTGAATTCCAGCTGAGCGAGAGCCTGATCAATGGACATTCCTTTTATCTGCAATCAAAGTGTTAAAATTAACTTCTGCATTTACAAGTATTTCCTTTCTCTTATTCAGAAGACAACATTTAAATTATACTGGTATTATAAAAACAAAAATACTGTCATTTCCTTAATCACCACTTCATCAATTTAATACCTTGCAGCTAAACCAAACTACAAACAGCCATTCCCTGTCCAGATCCATGCTCATCCCCAGGACTCTGCTATAAAGGTGCTCATTAAACTGTGATTGAATGAGGCTCTTAAGACAAATACAGCAATTAAATTTTGCATTCTCTCAAGTACAGTACAAAGTACTCTTTGCTTACCAGTTTTGCCAGATACCACATCTTATCTTTGCTGTATTTTATTTCCCTCCGACAGTGATAGATTTCCTAGGGGCAAAAAGAAGTTAAAGGATGAGTAAATTTGCTGTGAAAACAGGAATGGTGCATCCATGTCTGCTGTGCAATCTGTGTTCTTACTAGGAATAAAATAAAAATGGCTCTGCCTACTATGAGAACAGCACATCAGGCATAGCTTTGACATTTGAAACTGAAAGCACTAAAAAAAGTGCTGGCACACAGGAAATTTTAATACAATCTTATGAAACTTAATTTATAAGCAGAAGTCCCTGAAAAGGATAATCAGGAGGTTTTCACCATCTTTTCCTCTCATTCTCCCCACTACAGAAGCAAAGATTGACATGTCCATTCAGCCTTAAGAATATTACCCTGCTATCTACTCCACTTAGTGGGAGAGCAAATAAACAATCTTACCAGAATGAACTTAATTAGCCCTCGAGAAGTGAAGAGGGTTTCAGTTTGATTGGCACAAAGAGCTGCCTCCACAGACCCATCTAACATTATTGCTAACAGGGACCAGCACCAGCTGGTAGAATCCAACATCAATACAAATTGGAAAGAGATGGAACTCTTGATAAACAGGGAAAACACTGATTTAATAAACACATCTGTCAATAGCTGCGTTTTCACACACACTGCACCAGTCAGCACAGTCCACAGCAGGGATTTCTATGTCCTAGGCCACAATGTTCACAAAAGCAACCAATAAATGCTCATGGCCCACAAAATACATGCCTAAAAAAACCCATTTCTTTTCAGTTTAAATACTTTTACTTTGCTGAGCAGCGTGTCTAACAGAAGCCACAACACATCAATTCCTAATGAAGAAAAATGCTAACAATGGAATTCCAGAACATCAGTTCTTGACAGTACAGTTTCTACCTCCTTGTAGAAACTTCTACAAACACAGGATGGGCCCTTACAGCTTGAACCACACACTGAGCAGGTGAGCAGCTCCCAGTAACTCTAGGCTCCAATATAATTTAGAGATGGAAATCATTCCAAGTGATATCAACTTCTACAATACAGCCAAACTGAATAAAATCCTAAATAATGAGCAAACAAGCTTTCAAACCAGTGCCTTGTGCAGTCACCCTGTGCAGGCAGTGACAATCTGCCCAGAAATTGCTAAACATTCTCAGGTGAGGCCATGCACAGGGGCATCCTTACAGCTGGTCTGCGAGGCTCTCCAGGCAGCTGGGGAGGGTAAACAATCCTGTTCTTCTTCTCCCACTTCCCAATTTTCTGCAGAGATGTGCTGGTGTGGATGCAGGACAGAGGAAAAAGGCTCCCAGATGCCAGAAACCTGCAAGGCAAGACCACAAGTTCTTGCTGAACACAAGAGTTCTTTGTCCCTGCCCAGTTTATCTGGAAAATTGTGAACTTGCTGTCTTGAAAAAGAGAACCAGCACATTTGTATACTCAAAAAACCAAACTGTTGAATCCTTTATAGTTTATGCTGAAAAGGCTTTTTAACTCAGCAAGACTCAAGCTTCTCAAAGCAAACCATGAATGTTGGTATGAGATTCCACATTAAATGTCCTCAGACTGTCACACAAAGTCACAGCCACCTCTGTTTGATGCTCTTGTGGGGTTCAGGACTCACACAAACCATCTGTACCTTCCCCAAGGTACTTTCCATACTTATTTAACTTTTACCAACAACATATTTAGCAGTGAAAATTGCTAGTTTTTCAAGGGGCTGAGTATCTCAGAGCATTAGAGGTTTATAAACATTGTGAAATTTGAGAAGAGAGGTGTTCTAAACCACCTCCAAAACACAATCAGGTCAATCCAAAAACCAGACAGCTGATAGCAATAAAATCAATTTTCAGGCAGTTTGCTCACCTCAGATTCTGAAAAACCAGATTCTGCCTGGATAAAGCAGCAGTGGGCAGCCACTGGTGACTACAGTAAACAGGTGAGTTCAAGACCAAAGGTTGTGAGTTTTCCTGAGCCTTGAACATCTTTGTGTGTGTGGCCAACCTTAAAAACGCATCTTAAAAACAGGCAAAGACAGCGTGCCAAAAGGGCATTGTACACATTGCCCACAATAATATGTGAGCAGAGATCAGCATAACACACACATTTCAATGTCATGGAGTATTTTTTCAGGTATTTGCAGGGACACAGCTGGCAGTTCCAGTGTTCCTGCAGCACAGCTCTGGGATTCCTCCAGAGGGGAAACTTCAGCAAGTGAGGAAAGCAGTGACTGGGGACAGCACAGACACCACATTTCTGTCACCTGTCAGAGACAATATGGGTGTCCAACAGAAAGAAGTGAGGAGAGAGACACCTCCATCATGGCACAAGCTCTGAACACTCAGAAAGACACCACGGGGGCAGAGAGTGACCAGAGCTCCAGGGTGGGTGAGATGGCCAAGCCAGGGGTCCCCGGAGCCCAGCCCCAGGTGCCCAAGCAGGGCAGTGCCTGTCACCCCGGGCTGACAGGGCCACACTCACCTCTCTGGCCGTGCCCAGCTGAGGAGACCCCGTGCCCAGGCAGCACCTGAAGGGAAAGTGAGGGAGGCATGAACAGAGTGGTAAAATCACAGCATGGTTTGAGATGGAAGGGACCTCGAAGACCATCCAGCCCCACCCCTCGCCACGGGCAGGACACCTCCCACGATCCCAGGTTGCTCCGAGCCCCATCCAGCCTGGCTTGGACACTTCCAGGGATCCCGGGGCAGCCACAGCTGCTCTGAGCAATCTGTGCAAGGGCTTCAGCACCCTCACAGGGAAGAATGTTTTCATAATACCTAACCTAAACCTACTGGTTGCCAGTGTGAGGCCGTTCCCCTCATCCTGTCACTCCAGGCGCTTGTAAACACTCTCACTCCATTATTCCCGGACGCTCCCTTCAGGCACTGGAAAGCTGCAACTTGGTCACCCCGAGGCCTGTTTTCTCCACGCTGAACAACCCCAGTTCTCCCAGCCTTTCCTCGTATGAGAGCTGTCCCGTCCCTCCGATCACCCCGTGGCCTCCTCCCTAGCGAAACCCTCCCAAACCAGCGCCGCGTCCCCTCAGCCTCACCCGCGCTCAGCGCCCAGCGCGCCGCCATCTTCCCGGCCTCGCTTTGCGGCAGGAGCAGGGGCAGGGGCGCCGTTTGCGACAGTTTGCGGCGGCGTGCGCGGCGCTCGGCGGCAACGCTCGGAGCACGTGGGGCGGCGCGGGGGGACCCGGGGCGATGGCGGCGGGGACGGGGATGGAAATGGGGATGGGAACGGGAACAGGAACAGGGATGGGGGTAGGTATGGGGGTGCGGGCGCTGCCCGCCTCCCCCAACTGGTACAGCAGCCGCTGCAGCGATGCCAGCAGCGACGGCCGCCTCTTCGGCTTCGCGGCGAGGCACCGCGTCTGCCTGCTGGATGTCGCCGCCGCCGCGCCCACGTTTTACGGTACCGTCACAACCTTCCCCGGCCCTGTGCAGGGGCTGCGGGGCCTCCCCGCCACCGGGAGCCCGGGGGGGACGCGGGGGCTCGGCGGGCCGTGACGGTGTGTGCTGTGGCCGCAGGGGAGCTCCTCGGGCACACGGACAGGATCTCCGCCTTCGCCTTCTGCCGCTGCCCCGGGCACAGCGGCCTCTGCGCCAGCAGCTCGGACGATGGGAGCGTCAAAGTCTGGGACAGCGGGACACTGTCGCCCGTGCTGGAGTACAGCCTGCACCAGGTGGGGACACGGACACGGACACGGGGTGGCTCGGGGCTCGCTCACAGAGCACGGCGAGGCTGCTCAGCCCTAAGGGCAGTTCAGAGGCGGTGTGGTTGGCGCTGCTCGGTGCTCGTGGTTGGCAGCCCGCAGCGCTGTTCGTCCCCGGCTGCTGGCACAGAGCAGAGCAGCACCCAGCCCGTGGCTTGGACTCGCTGCCGCTTAGCCCAGCTCGCCTGAAGGGATCTCAGCAGATTGCTGTGGCCGCAGGGCACGCTGAGTGTGTGTTTAAAGAGTCACTGCGGCTCGGGAGCGCACATCCGCAGCTCCATCTATCCTCTGAAGCCTGAAAGAACAGAGGCACTCAGGGACAATCCACAGTGCTGCTGGGTGTTGCTGTGGGACACGAAATAACACAGCGCGGACACGCTGCTCTTTTGAAGTAAAAAAGGCAGTTTTAATTTCTGACTCTAACATTTATAGATTTCTAAAAGTGGCGGTGGATTGGAGGGTGACAGTGCCACCTCTCCAATGACACTGGACAAACCAACAATCTGTCAAATTTCTCTTCATCTGTAAAAGAATACAAAACTATAATTTATTTACATAAAGTATGTGAGAAAATTCATTACAAAAACATAAATATCAAAAAGCTTTAAAAAATTTAAAAAATCAAAACAACAGCTGGTCACTGCTCACAGATGATTTCCTGCCTGTTACTGTGTGTTAGGTGGCAGTGAAACAGCTCTAAACCTTTCCAATGCTCTCTCTTCAGAATGCCATCTCAGCACTGCACTGGTCCCCTCTTGTGAAAGATCTCATTGTGACTGGTGATGAGAAAGGTGTCATTGTTTGTTACTGGCACAACAGAAATGACAGCCAGCAGTTCTTCCCAGAGCCCAGGACAGTGTTCTGCCTCACCTGTTCTCCTCATCATGAAAACCTGGTGGCCATTGGGTAAATGCTCTTTACTTCATGTTTTGTTTTCCACTCTTCTTCTGCAAGAATTTAATTGTGAGTTTTTGCTACATGGTTCAAAGGTAAATTTTAAGAGGTCTTGGTGGCTATTCTTTTAGTTTTGGAGTAAAACAAATTAGAAATAATATCTAGATTTGATAAACCTGCAAAGGCAAAGAAATCTGTTAAAATTTAACAATCCAGCCTGGCTGATCTGTAATGGGGTGATAGTGACCCTGGAAAGAGCTTGTAAATCACCTTGGATATTATTCCACAAGCATCCAAGAATCCCTTCATTAATTTAGATCTCTGCTTTCAGCTACAAGGATGGCATGGTGGTGATAATTGATATCAGCAGGAAGAGAGAAGTTGTGCACAGGCTGAGAGGCCACGAGGATGAAATCCATTGTCTGGCCTGGTGCCCTGTGCCTGGGGAAGAAAGGTTACCTGCTTGGCAGGATGAGCTCCAGGGTAGGTGAACATGATTAACAACTTGTGGAGTAACTTCTAGTTCATGTAAATGTCCTTCTAGAGCATTGGATTTTTTACAGAAGGTTAAGAGATTAGCTAAGTAACTGATAAGTTCAACAAAATATGTTCTGATACAAATCAGTACAATTTTCAGCTAATTTTTATGAAGCTTTGATTTTTAAAGCATAATAACATGACTTCAATGGTGTTCAGCAGCTCCTTCAGAAGAAGGCAAGGTTCCAAACGGGGAGCTGACACAGGACACAGCCACGAGGAAGGGTTGTTACCTGGCCTCTGGAAGCAAGGATCAAACCATACGGATATGGAGCTGTACCAGAGGCAGGAGTAAGTAAGAGATAAAAAAGAACAAGGTGAAATAATTCCTGAACTGCAAATTGCCTTTGTGTGCTGAAGGCATGGGGAATGTAATTAAAGCTGCAGATTCACAGGACTCATCTATCTGATTGTGTAGGATTGAAAAGAGAGGTGTCCTCTGAGGAAGGCAGGAGCCTCCCTTGAAATGGAAAATGCAAAGCCCCTCCCTCTGAATTATTATAATTTTGAAATTAAGGGGCTCTCAGGCAGAGATATAGGAGTATGAATAACAGTTCTTTAATAGGAAAAAAATTAAAATGCAGTAATACAAAACAACACTGCCAGAGTCAGAACAGGACCTGGCACCCTGTGGGTCAGGGTGGTGGCACAGTCCCATTCAATGGTGGCTCAGCCCTCCTGCAGTGCCAGCTGTGGTTCTGCTGGAGCAGGGATCCTGGAGAACGGTGGAGTTTTGCTCTGAAGGTCCAGGGCTGCTGTAGATGGGCCTGGTATTTCTCTGGGAATCCAGTGGGAAGGGGCTGCTTCTCTGGGAATCCAGTGCAAAAGGCTGCTGTGGTCTTCCAAACCTCACATTCTATCCAGGCAGGAATGCTTGGCTCCTCCCCCTGGGCAGAGCATCTCCCAGTGGGATGATGGAATTTTATCAGCTGTGCAGTGACACTGTGCATGAACAGAAGATATTTTCCAGAGGGAGGATTGGTTGTGGAAGAGGTAAAGAAAAGTGCCCAGTTAACAGAGGATAACTGCCCCACCTCTGACAGATGGCAATAGAACACACACTCAGCCACATCTTGCATTTCCAACCTAAGACCCTGAGAATTTCCCTGTGTGAGGTGCAGTGATGCCTCCTGCTCCTGCAGGTGTGATGACTCTGAAGCTGCCACCCACCAGGAGGAGAGGAGGGGCCGTGGACCCGGCAGTCAAGGAGCGCATCTGGCTGACTGTCCTGTGGCCTGCTGGCCACCCCTCAGACATCATCTCCAGTGCCTTTGGGTAAGTGGGACACCCAGCAACAGAGTCATTTGTTCCTGCTGAAGGAAATGCTGAGTAGAAACACCCCCCCCCTTCTTCCTCCCTGCACAGTGTTACAGGAGAAAACAGGCCTAGAGTTCAGACTTTGAGATTACTATTTGCCCCATAATTTGTCCAGCAATCTGAGTATTGACTGCTAATAGCACTAATTATTATTTTGCCCATCTACTGGGAAAAAAATGGCAGTTTTCAGGTGGAGTTTGAGTGTGTGGCTTTTTACAGATGTCTGCAGAATCTATTACTCCTGTATATTTGCAGTATATTTTTTATATAGTCTATATCCTATATAGAACACTGTGTTGTTCTTCTGAAGTGAAAAACTTAAATGAATTTCAATTTTGCAGAGGAGAACTGCTCCTTTGGAATTTGACCCAGCCTGGCAAACGCAAGTGGACTCTTCTGGGATCTTCAGAAGGACAAAACCACTCCCGAATTGTGTTCAATCTCAGTTCTGTGAAGCACCAAGACAGAGAGCTCCTTTTTTCCATTTCAATGGACAGAGATGTAAGAACCATTTAAAAATTAGCATAGGAATGCCTCTACAATGCAGTTTGACTGAGTGAAACTAATCCTTTTAGGCCACGGTTTTTCTCCAGAAGTGCATTTATTTTAGCATTTTATGACATCACTTCCTACCATTTTTCTGAGCACAGGTAGTGTATGTTTCTGTTAGCTTATAAACTCAGTCTCTTACCATGGCGGAGTGAATGCTTGTGACATTCTGGACTTGAATATTAAGCATTTAATGAAAGATGTTTTCCACTTTTTTTCCTCTATATTTCACTTTTTAAAAGCCTTCTTTTCCTTCTTAACATAATTTAATTGTAGAAACTAATACATATATTTTTATAGGTCTTTTTTTCAGTCTTTAGTCTTTTACAGGCAGCAGAGTGTCTGCTGTTTTGAAATTGGGAGAGAAACTTAATAAAATAAATTCATTATGTCCATTCCAGTCTTGCAGCTACTGCATCCCTATCTGTGACAGGGAATCCTCTGGGTGCAGATCACATCCTGCCAAGCCTTGCATTTGACCCTTTGAGTCTTCATTTCACTTCTGCTTTGTTTTTTCTTGTCAATCACTCTGTATTTAACCATTCCTTTTTCTTCAAATATTCTTCAGGTGAAATGCTGGGATCTGTCTACTCTGGATTGCAGCTGGACCTTGCCCTCCCTTGGAGGGTTTGTCTACAGCCTTGCCTTCTCCCCCGTGGACACAGGCTGCCTCGCCATCGGGGTGGGGGACAGCATGATCCGGGTGTGGAATACTCTGTCCATCAACAACCCTTACGATGTTAAAACCTTCTGGCAAAGCATAAAGTCCAAGGTTACAGCAGTAAGTGTGCTTTGGATTCTTTTTTTTTTTTTCCCCTCAATATATCTTCTGTTCACTCCATTTTTTTCAAGGATGTTTTTCTCTCTCTTGCATTCTGAAGGTTTGTCCCAACTAAAATGAGGTAAAGCCTTGTTCATTTTATACTCAATTCCTTCTGTATACTATAAATTTTAGAATCTGGCAACAAGTTTTTAGACCTTTTGACAATCCTAGAAGATTGCATTTACATCTGCTGGAAATAAGCTGAAGTTTACCTGGCTGTTATGTTACTTTTTCACTTTTATCCTCCTTCATGATTCTTCTTCTCTTCACCTGTGGTTGCCCTTGCTCTGCTAGGAAGTTTG